GAAGTGGGGGGTGGGGGGCGAGGGTTGGAACTGCGGCTTTAATCCCAGGGTCAGCCCCCTTTTATCTCCCATCCTCCCAGGGGCCGAAAGGGGGTTGGGGGCCGGGAGTGAAGTTCGGTTTGACTCTCCCCTTTGGTTTTCTGAGTCCCGAGCCTCTAGGAGGCTCCTCGGGCCTGGAGGGCTGCCTGGGACACGACTGAGTCTTGCCTGTGACGGGCGGGGGAAGAGGATGGCTGGCGACGGAGTTTCCGAAGGAAAGCGGGAGTCTGGACCCTCGGCTCTCCCGCGTCTCACCGGAAGCTGGACCAACCCAACCGCTCACCCAAAAACCGGGCAGCGGCGGGAGGCGTTGGCGGAGGTCCTGGTTACCCGTCCCTTTGGAACCGGACCGACGACCCGACTCAAGAACCGAGTCTCCGGAAACCCCAATCTCCGGGCAACCCACATTTCTTATTCAATGGACCCCCAATATTCTTCGCACCCCGACGTGTAAAGGGCCGGTGGAGTCCAGCACCCAAGCCGGGAAGGCGGAAACCGGCGGCCGTGCCGGGGGCGCCCGGATGCCTGCCCAGACGCGCGCCGCTCCCCCCGGCCGCTGCAGTGCGCGCCTTTGCCCGACAGGGACCAGCACCGCTCCACGATCCGCCCGCCGCGCGCCGGTCCGCCAGGCGGAGGCGCGGGCCACCCGCCCAGCTCACCCGCCCAGCCCGAGCTGCTCTCCAGAGAAGCGAGTTTGACCCTCTTGGGGTCCGGATTCCGGCAGGGAGGAGGACTGTAACAAAAACGCGACCAGACTCCCCGCGGCCTGAGCGGGACGCCGTCCCTCCCACCCCACGGCCCCATAAGGGGAGCAGGGGCTGCTGAGAAGTTGGTCTAGGGCGGAGGCCGCGGCCGGCGGGGCGCAGCACGTCCCGAGCTCCAGAAGCAAACGCCAGCAACATTGCATTGATTCCTTCGGGACGCGGGGTGCCACAGTTAGAGGGCTGCGAGCTTCCCGGAGCGCCATCTCAGTCGCTGTACCCCTTCTTTGCGGAGAGCTCTCCTGATTATTTCTAGGCTACCGTGGGCCACTGAGCTGCCAGAGCTCCTCGAGAAGTTTCTATGGGTTGTGGCAAGAATCTCCCCGACCCCTCCAAACACTCGGTACCGCGCTGGGGTGGGGCGGGCCAGCACCGCGCATTCGTTCTCTGCCCCTCTCCGCCCCCAGGGGTTCAGTGGTTCAAGACGGTACCCCTGTCACTCCCCCAGCACAAGCCACGTCTCCCTCCTCCCCCGTTCTGGGTAGCAGCTGGCGCCTCTGGCCCTGGCCCTGTCGGGGAAACTCACCGGTACCAGGCGAGGCCCTTGTCGTAGCTGCGGTCGAAGAAATGGGGCTCGGCGCCCACGGCGCGCACGTCGGGGTGCACGCGCAGGAACTCGAGCAGCGCCCGCGTGCCGCCCTTCTTCACGCCGATGATGATGGCCTGCGGCAGCTGCTTGCTCCCGGACCCACTAAAGAAGCTGGAGATGGGGCTGGGGGAGTCCGGCGCCTCGGGACTCTGCTCCTCTTGGCTCGTGGCGCCCTCGGCCTTCTCCTGGCCGCAGCCAACGGGGTGGCTGGTACTGTTTGGAACAGCAGCCTGGGGAAAGCCCGGTCGGGACCCGTGGCCAGGGCTGGCGGGTCGTGGACGGCGCGGGACCCCGAGCCCAGCAGCAGCAGCCCCGGCGCGGCGGCGCACGAGCCGGCGCACGAGTACAAGAACATGTAGAGCCAGATGCAAAGCATGGCGAAGAGCAGCGCGAGCTTCCTCCTCACCGGTGGCGGGGGCGCCTGCGGCTGGGGCAGAAGCCAGCTGGGGACATGGAGGCAGGATCGGCTCCCGCTCAGGCGCTGCCCCATGCGCTGCCCGCGGGCGCGGCGAGGGGCATGGCTCAGCACATGGCACTGGTCCCGCCGGAGCCGTGAGCGCGGAGAGGGTTCCTTGGCCCTCCGGACGCCCGGTGGGTGGGTTTATTGCACCCGTGCGCCCGGGGCCACCGCTGCTGCTCCTGCTGCTCTTCCCCAGGTGGCGGCAGCAGCTGTAGCGGCCGCGGCTTTTGACATGTTGCCCGGGAGGAGCCGCAACTGGAACGAAAGTCGGGTGGCGGCAACTGCTGGCCTGGGGACGGCTCTTACGGCGCGACGGCCCGCTCTGGGGCAGGAGAACGCTGCGCTCCCGCCTCCTGGCCGCTCGGACGGTGCGTACGGCCGCTGCCCGGGGCTGCCTCCTCGCTGCCCTGCGAACTGCTCCTGAGAGCAGCCCCGGCACTTCCTCGCTGAGGCTGCGAAGGAGAACTGCGCAGGAAGAGTAGAGACCGAGGTGGAGTGGGCGGGCCCGGCCACCCGAGGGACAGGCCGCTCCACCTACCAGAAACCAGGACCACCATGCAAATACAGCAGCTTCGCTGAGGCTCCAGCAGCCAACCAGCTCCCGGAAAGTGGGGGTGTGGAAAGGGTTTGGGGCGGAGGAAAGTTGTCGGGGGTTTCTATTGGCTGCAGGATCAGAAGGGCGGAGCCAGGGACTGGTGACAGGAGCCGAGGGAAGAAGGATGCTGGCATAACCCGGCGCTGGAAGAGGACAGACCCCACCGAGTGGTGCACTTCGGCACCCGCGCGCATTTCCGTACTCGCTCCCCGAGCGGAAGCCTTGGCTGTAGTTGCCCATGTGTCGGGACGCAGTCCCATCCAGTTGTTTCGTGGGCGGCTCCCGGCGTGTGTGTGTGTGTGTGTGTGTGTGTGTTGCGCAGTAGGGAGGGGGTTGGAGAAGCAATAGTCAGGAGGGACATGCAGACCCCAAACCACCCATGGGCTGGGAGGGGGAGGGGAGGGAAGGCGGTTTATGAAGTTCAAGTGGAAAGCATATTTGGAAATTGCTGTCAGATTTTTTTAAAAATGTCTTTCTTTCTTATTCTTTACCAGGAGTTGATCTCTCTAGGCCGGCCCGGTTAGCTGGGATCGGTGCAAATTGCCCTCAGAAAAAAATCTTCCCCAGTTGCCCAAACTGCTGGAGACAGATGAGGGTGAAGGGGGAGAGGGGTTAACGGAGATAAAGGCTGGTAAAATGTTTCCTGGTGCAAAAGTGAGTGTGAAAGTCACGTGTAGAAAGTTTTGTCGGGATATGAGTTTCTTGAGGACATTAAGTTGAAGAAAATGTTCAATCCTCCCTTTTCCCTGAGTAAATAATAAAGCCCGTTCACCTTCATTGAGAAGACAGTTTGGTTTGCTGACCTGTTACACTAATTATTAGGTGTTGTTGTGTTCTCACCAATTTATGTCAAACTTTAAACACGGACCACTGAGTTGCATAGAGTCCACTCGAGAACGCTCTCCCGGACTCTTCCGGAAAAATACCCTGGGGCGGGGGCGGGGGCGCTGGAGCTGGAGCTGGAACTGGCACGGGCACGGGGAGCGCGGGCAGGGGCGCAGCACCCCGCTGCGTTCCCGACCGGGCGCTCGGAATGCGGAGGCTCGGGATGCGCAAACCCACCCCTTGCTGTTCAGGAAGTTCAGATGCCGGCAACCTGGCCCGCGGGCGGGCCGGCGGGCGGCTGTTCCGGGACCAAGAGTTCCTCCGACTCCCACCAGCGGCAGCCCGGGTGCAGTGTCGCCCACGAGGCTACTCACCCCGAGCCGCCGCCCACGTTGCAGTTCACCGTCCTCGGCGGACACGAACATGGACACCGCACGGCGGAACCGACCCGAGCCCTGGTCCCTCTGCCGCGCTGCCCGCGCCTGGCCTCGGCCGCCAGCCCGAACACTCCTGCTTTTTCTTTTTAGTAAATGTCTCCCAGTGTCCGAAGTTCCCGACGTCCTGCTCAGCGGGGAGCACACGGAGAAAGCCGGGACTTCGGCCAATAGCACCTCAGGTTCGCAAACGTGCCCTAAGGCGGCGGCCGTGACCCGGGAGGTTCCGATAACCCAGCGGTCAACCTGCGGGACCGCCTCCCCACCCCTCCCACCCCCCAGCTGTGCTCCGCGCGACCTTTTTGCAACAACGTTGAGCCCCAGATACTTTCTACAAAACTGTTGAGGGATAAATAATTCAGATAAAGGATTTTCCTCCCCCTTTTACATTCGCAGGGGGAATTTTCCCCCAGCTTTTCGTTTCCCGTCGCTGGGATGTTGAGTTTGTTCTTTGGAAGAAGTAATTTACCACCCCCTTTTTTGCGTGTGTGTGTGTGTGTGTGTGTGTGTGTGTGTGTGTGTATTATAACTTCTGAAACATGAGAATATGTTTCTGAGCATTAGCCCGACTCTTTATTTTGGAAATATGAGAGGGAAACGCTAGTGTCTCCAGAGAGTGTGTCTTCAGATCACGTTATTTCTGGGGGGAATGAAGTTATTGTCTTCCGTCTTCGGGCCGCCCCGAGTGGCTGACTTTCGTGGGTTTTGAGAGGAGGGCCGTAGTGGTTTCTGATTTGTGTTGTGTTCGGGAGAGTCGTAGCTTCCATGTGTCTAACTTCAGGCCCGATGGGTGTGAATCGTAGTTTTAAAAAATATTTTGATAACCCTAATAAAAATGGTCTCCGTCTGGGGGTTAGCGAAGTCTAGTGTAAAGCGGGGAGGGGTGTCAGCAGTTACACATGGAGGCCACCGGATCTGTTTAGGGTCTTTCTCTCCGGGTGCGGGGAGGGAAGGAATGGAATCAGGGATGTGGGCGTCGGAAACAGCCCGGAGAGTCCCGCGGAGCTGAGCGCCGGAGCCCCGCCGGCGCGCACTGGGCGGGTGCGAGGTGCTCAGCGCGCCCAGGGGCTTCTGCGGACCTGGGTCGGCGGGTCGTCTGGGTCAGAGCGGAGCCGGACCAGGGCCGCTACCGGATGCTGTGGCCCATCAGCCCCCTTGGCTGGGCCGCCCGCTGAGCTCCCCAGGGCCGCTACCGGATGCTGTGGCCCATCAGCCCCCTTGGCTGGGCCGCCCGCTGAGCTCCCCAGTCCCAGGTTGAGCCTGGAAATCCCCACGCGAGGCTGCCGCTGCGGGCTCTGCCCCTGGCAAAACCCGCGGTCCCATCGTCCCATTCTTGCAGATGCGGAACCGGGGCCCAACCCTGGACGGAGCTGTGGCGAAGCTGAAGGTGGACAGTTTGCGTCTCTGCCCGGAACCTCTGCCCCGCGGCACAGGGTTCTCCCACGCGGGGCCGGCAGGAAAGCGCCGCCGCCCAACCCCGGGGCAAGGTTCACCTGCTAAACTTAGTGAGCGTGTTCGCCCGCGGAAAACCCAGAAAGGAGCAAATCCAGGCCCAGCCCACCTGCACGGCCCACGTTTGAGTTCGGTGGGATTGTCTGGGATTAGCTGATGGGGTTGCTCACCTGGGGCTGTGAGGGTCCCGCTCCCGCAGGCAGCCCCCCTAGGGAGGCCAGGGCTGCCCCG